CCCTGAACTCTTTCTCAGGTAGATTGCCTATCTCCACTTAGTTTTTCTTCTGAGGTTTTCGCTTGTTCCTTCATCTGGAACATGTTCCTATTTCACCTCATTTTGCCTGTTGCTGTTTTTATTTTTATGGATTTGGCAGGTTGGTTCTGTTTCCCGGCTTTGGAGAAGTGTCCTTCTGTAGGAGATGTCCTGTGTGTCCCAGCAGTACACTACCCTCTCATCACCAGAGCTGTGTATGCTGTGTGGATCTTCTGTGGCAGGCTGACTGTGTGTGAGCATGTGGGTGGTCTGCTAGACTTGATTGGTCCCCGGTCCTGTTGATTGCCAGACCCTGCCTTGTGTGGAGGCTGCCTGTCGCTGGTTCATAGGACCCAGTCATGAGGTGGCTGACTGCAGAACCTTGGGGTGCCCTGGGTTCAGCTTACTGGTGGGCAGAATCAGGGTCCAGGAGACCTCAGTCTATTGTGTGTCCACTGGTGGGTGAAGGAAGGTTCTGGGGCTAGTCCTGGACTACTGGTGGGCAGAGATGTTCCCTGGGGTCTGGTTGCAGGGCGCAGAGGTCCTAGAGGTGGTGTCAGATTGCTGGTGGGTGGGCCGATTCCTAACACAGTTGGTTGTGGGGTCTGGGGTATCCTGAAGTGCATGTCGGCCTGCTAGTGGGCAGGCCAGGGCCCAGCCATTCCCAGGGCAGGATATGGCCTCCTAGTGGGTGGGCTGGTTCTGCAGGCTGCAAGGCTGTGGTTTTCTTGTGGCTGGTGTCTGCCTGCTGGTGGGCAAAGCTGGGTCTGACGCTAGACCAGGTTCTCTGGTGGGCAGGGCCACGGTCCAGCAGGTCCCAGGGCAGGGTCTGACTTGCTATTGGGCAGGCCATGTCTGCAGACTGGGGGGCTGTGGTTTTCTTATGGCTGCTCTCTGCCCACTGGTGGGTAAAAATGGGCTGAGGCTAGAGCAGGATCCTTGGAGGGTGGGGCTGGGTACAAGGGATTATGGGGCTGGGGCCTGTCCACTGGTAGGTGCAGCTGGTTCCCAGTGCCTCAGGTCTAGTGCCTGCACCCTGGTGTATGGGGCCAGGTCCTGGGCCCTCTGGTGGGCAGGGCCATGTCCAGGTGTGGCTGTGGGCTCAGGGGTTCTTAAGGCAGCCTGTCTGCTCGTGGGTAGGGCTGTGTCCTTTCCCAGTTAGTTGCCTGGCCTGAGGCCTCCCAGTACTGATGTCTACAGACTGTTGAACCAGGGCATCACTGCATCCTGGGACTAATAAGCTAGAGGGAGGATTCTAAAATGGCGCTTGCCAGCACCAGTGTCCACATGGCAGAATGAGCTCCCCAGATGGCTGCCACCACTGTGTATGTCCCCAGGGTGAGCTCCAGTTGCATCCTGCTTCTCCAGGAGACTTCAAGATCAGCAGATGGGTCTCATCCAGGCTCATACCAAATTACTGCATCTGCCCTGGGTCCCGGAGTGTGAGATATTCGTGTGTTTTACGAGTGGGGTCTCTATCTCCCCCAGCCCTCTGGGACTCTCTAAAGTAAGCCCTGCTGGCCCTCAAAGCCAGATGCTCTGGAGGCTCATCTTCCCAGTGCAGAAGCCCTGGTCTGGGGAGCTCAGTGTAGGGCTTGGACCTCTCACTTCTTTGGGAGAACCTCTGCAATTGTCATTTTTCTCCTGTTTGTGGGTTGCCCACCCAAGGGTATGGGACTTGACTATGTTGCAACTCCATCCCTCCTACCCATCTCATTGTGGTTCCTTCTTTATATCCTTAGGCATAGAAGACCATTTCTGTTAGCTTCTGGTCCTTTTCATCAATGGCTGTTCCGTAAATAGTTGTGATTTTGGTGTGCCTGTGAGAGGGGGTGAGCTTAGGGTCTTTATACTCTACCATCTTGGCCAATCCCCGGTCTTGAATGGATGTCTTTATGTGGGAGCATCCATATGTAGACTGGGTGTACCCAGTGTCTTTGGGGTGATGGCTGGATCTGATGTGGATGGCAGCCACGTCTTTCCTCAGGGTGTGCTGGCCACTAAGATGAGGGTGTGGCTGGTGTTGGATTAGCTAGAGCCTCCAGCAGAGTGTGAGGCAGGACTTCCCCTCTGCTCAGTGGCCACCGTCACTCTGTCGGGGGTGGGGCCTGCTGCCTAGTTGCTGGAGCAGAAGCCCTGAGGGTCCAGCTTGAGCTGGCTCCTTTCCCTTTAAGTGTGTGTTTCCCTTCTCCCCACACTGGGGCCTTGCCCTGAAGGAAGGGAGTGCTGAAGTACACGGGGCTTGTGCCCGGCTTGTGCCCTTATAGAGGTCCGGTGCTCCTCCTGTGTAGGCGTCTGCAGCTCCACTCAGCTGCAGCCCAAGGTCACATCTTTTCCCCGTTATGGTTGGCCCAGATCCAGTGCAAGGTTGTGGCATAGAGTGGGCAGGGCTGGAGCCTTCCCTAGGCTGGGACTGGGGATCACAGTGTTTTGGTTCAGGAATTGAAGCTCTGCGCAGCTGTCGGAAGTTGGGCTGCTTCTGTAGTGCTATTTGAGTAAGTGCGACAGTGGCTGCCACCGCCCACCTAGACCACACCCCAGGCCCCCCGAGCCACCTCTGCAACCCTAGATGGAGTCTCTTCCCAAGACCTGACTGCCCTAGATCCCGTGCCAGGCTGTGGCATGGAAGAGCGGCACTGGGGGGGGGTTCTCTCGGCTCGCATTGGGGGGTGCGGTGCGGCGGCAGCTGCTAGGCAAACCTCTCTCCACCCTGTCTGGGGGTGAGCCTGCACCTGTGCGCTCCTCCCAAGTGGAGTCTAGGCTTCCTCAGCCTTTCTATCTGTCCCAGCACTTCTCCTCCCTGCAGGACCCCTCGTCCCCTCCGGGGACACTCTGTCTGTGGCTCAACCCGCTCACTCCCCACCCATGCGATCTCCCTTTTCCTCTTAGTCCCCTCCCCGGGGCACAGGTCCTGACCAAGTGCTTTCCTTCTGTCCTACCTGATTACGTGGGAATCTTTCTTGCAGCCTTGGTCGTTTAGGAGTTCTTCTGCCAATTTCCAGTTAGTTTTCCATGAGAACTGTTCTGCATGTAGATGTGGTTTTGATGTGTTTGTGGGGTCAGCTGAGCTCCACATCCTCTTACTCTACCATCTGGATCCCCCTCCTGAAGCACTAGCCTAGGTCCTCATATTTCTAAAACTTCATCTCATGGGTTTAATCTTTGGTCTGGCCCATCCTTGCACCCCCAGCCTCGTTCTGCACCAGCCACCCTTTCCCTCTGCTTTTAGTCACACTAGCCTTCTTTAAATGCTTCCAACAGGCATTCCTCCTCTTTGCTGTGAGACCTTTCACACATTCTTCTCTTTGTATGGAACATTTCCTCTCTGCATTAGAGTAAGTTTAATACTAGCTGCTGCGACAAACTTAAAAATGTCAATGACTGAACACAAAAGTTTATTTCTTGCTTTTACAAAATCTATTGTGGATATTCCTGGTTGGTAGGTGGCCTTCCACATGATCCTTCAGAGAGCCAGGTCCCTTCTGGCTATGGCTCTGTCATCCCATGGGACCTTAAGAGTACTTTATTGGATCCTATGCAACTGGTGGATAGATGATTGAGTGAGGGGAGGGTGGTGAGAGATGTAGAGGATCCTACAGGAGGTTTTGAATGGGCTGTACCTGGAAACGGCATTTATCACTTCCACCCAGGTGCATTGGCTAGAACTGAGTCATATGCCCAAATCTAGCTGCCTAGGAGGCAGGAAGAAACAGTCTAGCTGTGTGCCCAGAAAGTAGAGGGAATGGCTTCGGTTAACCCAGAGATTTCTTTGACACATACTACGTCCCCCGCTGCATTCACTGATTACCTCCTGCCCGTCCTTCAGATCTCAGGGACGCCTTCTCTTACCTCTGTGACTAGGTCAAATCACCCTAGTCCTTCATGCGCCTCTCTTTTGTGGCAGTAATCACTGTTGTAAATTCATGTTCCTTTGTGTTACTGTTTCTTCTGTGCTTGTTTCCCACTAGGTACTGTTCCTCGGGGATAGGAATTGTATCTGTTTTGCTCAGTCCCAACCCAGTGCTTGGTACATGTAGTCATTCAGTAAATATTTGTTGACTGAAGGAACCAAAATGAAAGAAAATGAATAGGTAATTGCCCCGTGAGCACCTACTGCTACCCAGTGTGGCTCCAGAGGAAGTCAGATCGAAATACCATCCCACTCCCAGCCCTTAGTGCTATCTGTGGGTCACAAATCTGACTCAATACCTTTCAGTGTGTCTAGGCATCCGAAAGGCCACTGCCCAGCTCCTGGCCCCTCTGATACTATTTCATTGCTAATAGACACCCTGCCCAAGGTTGTCCCCAGATGTTCCAGCCACTCTTCTCAACAAGGACTGTGTATTTTTCTTGCCCTTCAGAGGCTGGCCTCATAGGGGTAGTGTGGCGTCGGGGCCCCAGACAGCCACAAGGTCTCCCTTACCCCACTGGCTCTGCTTATCCCTTAGATGCGTGTGTCCCCCTGACCTCCTGTTCCCTATCCCTCCCCAGAACAGGCTTTAGTGAAAGAGACTATCAGTGCTGTTGACAGACTGACCGGGTGTGTAGAGGTTGCACTGAGGAAGGTGAAGTGTCAGACAAAATGTATCCTGAAGTCAAAGTCCACGCCTTGCCAAATTTCTAGCCTCCTTGGGAGACAAGTACTAAATGTATTTGTTCTTATTATTTTGTCACCAGCATCCTTAATATTTGGTATAAGCTACTTATCCAGTGTGGAGAAGGGAAAAAAATTCTTACCTTTCAAATGTGAAACAGATGGTGGAATTTTGAACAGGAGGGGCAAAGGTATTCTGAGAGTGAACAGGTGAAACTGCAGGATAAGACACTGCCCAGCAGTAAGTCCTGTCCCTAGCAGCCTAACTCCTCCAGCCCCACCCTCGCCCCAGACCTAGCAAGCATGCAGCCCTGCATTGTGGGGCCTTGAAGCATTTGGGCAGAGGTGAGGGCGGTGTTGATCTGATGCTCTCCCGCATTCCTTACAGATTGCAAAGGAAGATGCCATTCTGCCGGTAGCTCTCTTCCCATCTCTCTGCAAGCTCATCTTTCATAACAACCCTCTGGTGGCCCATACACGAGGTATGGTACCCACAAACCTGCCCCCTGAACCCAGTCTCCAAGAAGCAATGTGGGCCTCCTCATCCCTACCTCAGGGCTAAGCCCTGCTCTGCGTCGTGGGTGGACAAGGTTCATAGTGCATTGGGGGCTGTAGAAAACAACAGAGACCTCTGAGCACATGCTCTGCACTAACTCATCCTGACAGCAAACCTGTGAAGTGGGCATTTTTGTCCCCGTGCACAGTAGATGAAACTGAGGATCAGAGAGGGTCACAATCTACCCAAGGTCACACAGCAACAAAGAGGCAGTGCTGGGAATGGAGTACAGAATTATCTAGATCCTGCATGGGCTCTATAATGACACTTTGCTTTGTGGGACAGGTCTGTTGTGACCTCACTCCCCACTTCCCAGTTAGGGAGGAGTGGGAGGCCGAACTGCTGAGCCCTCCCCACCCAGAGCACGCTGAATGCAGTAGATGCTCTGTCAGTACTGGAACCCACTGTCCAAGATGCAGCAGCTGGAGGCATTTTAGAATCCTGGGCCCTGGAGTGACACTAGGGTATTCTAATCTCTACTCTACACTGTCTTCATTGCCTTGGACAAATTCCTTAACCTCTCTGTGCCTCAGTTTCCTCACCTGTCAAATGGGCATAATATAGGTACCTACCTCCTAGAGCTCGTGCGAGAATTAAGTAAGTTTATACATGTACATGAACAGTGCCTGGCACACAGAAGCCCCCAGTAAAATGTTAGCTAATAGTAATCTTATTTTCCCACCATGGCTCCAGGGGTCCCTCCACTGCTAAAAAGCTTCCTCCAGGAGCAGCTGGGAATCCACTTAATTCGAAGGAAGATGGTAAAGGCTAAGCGTCACATTTTGATGCCTCGGAAGGACTCTCGGAAGGTAAGCCTTCAAAGGCAGGACCCTCCAAGCCCAGGGGGAGTGGAGCCTATTTTAATGCCTGCAGACCAACCTGACAGCAGAGCTGCTCCCTGCCACAATATCTGGGATCCCTCTGTTAGGTTTGTAGCCGCAGTTTTGTCTTCTCCTTCCCTCGCTCTCTTACATACAGATATACCCAGGAGAGACAAGACAGCCAGTCAGAGACCCAAATGTCAGAGTAGGGAGGAGCCGGGGAGGGCATTGAGTCTGACCCCCTAATTTTACAGAGAAACTGAGGTCCAGAGAAGACACTGTGGAGAAGTGGAGAGAAATCAGTCAGAAGACCCGGGTGAGAGTCTGGCTCCATCATTTTTCTAGCTGCCTGAACTTGGGCAAGATTTCCACTCTCTGAGCTTCAGCTTCTCAACTCTAAAACCCCTCAGAGCTGCTGAGAGGACTGGATGAAGCAACAGATATAAAAACACTTTATAAACTCCCCAAACCCCTACGAATGCAGGTTATAGTCACCTGTGGTAATCGTGAATGGCTGCACCAGGCCTAGAATACACATCTCCTGCCTGAATCTTAGGAAGCGTTTCCTACCGTTGAGAGCAGTCTGCTCCCTCAGTACCTCCCCCAGCTAGTGGTCTTAGATTGGCCTTCTGGGATGCCGTAAAGTAAGTCAAATCCCTCTTTCATCTGAAGGATTTCAGAAATTTCTGTGAAATGCTGCTCCCTCCTGAACTTTAATCTTCCTATAGCCAAAAGCTGGACTTGGCATTGCTGGTCCCGAAAGTTAATTAGTTATTCCCTGCCCAATGCCGCCCCCCCCCCCCCCCACCCCAGTCTGCTTCTGTACAGCCAAGCTCTTGTCTTGAGCCCTCAGAGGACCAGAGCAGCATGTAAAACCAGAAATAGAAATTCAGAGGGTTTCCATCATCTTTCCCCTTGTCTGTTGCCTCCTCTAAGGATCCTGCTACTTCCCTTCCCATCAGCCAGCTGGGAAAGGGCACAATCAGTGAGCCGGATGCTAAGTACATAATCCTGTCTCCCACGTACGGAACACCCATGCTGAGAACTTGCACACAGCTACCCTGTAACCCTCACCATGAACAAGGAAACAGGCTCAGAGAGGTGAAATAACTTATTTGTTAAAAGGTAGTGTTGGGGTCCAGGGGCACCGTTACAGTTCCAACTAGTAGAGGATAAACACCAAGTATCAGTGGCCGAATGAGAAGCACATCAATGCTTTGTGAATCTAGGCAAACACCATCTAACCTCCAATGCAGGCTAGACTGGAGAGTGTTGTGTGGCCTGCAGGCAGGTTGGAGATGCCTACATGTTCCCTGTGTGCTCCCAGAGATGGGCTGGATGTACAGCCTTTTACTCACTCAGTTACATAGACCAAGATTGCTGGCCCTCCCTCATACTAGGCATAGACAAGACGGGGGGAAAATGGAGACCCACCCAACGTGTAACCAAAAAACTGTATGAGGCCTCTATGTGTGAGAACACAAATGGAAGATAAAATGGCCTGCCCTTGATGCGCAGCAGTCCAGCCCATCTGGGACACAGGGTCCAATGACTCTCAACCTCTGACCAATCAGATTATCCAGTCTTCCCTCAGGAAAGTGATGGTGGGATAGAGAAAGAGCGTCCCCAGCACTCCTCCAGCACAGACCTGTGAGAGGGAGGAATAAATGTGGCCCCTTCTCCACCAGCCGGCAAATGACGGCACTTGGTGTTTTGGACACTGAGGCATGAGTTCTGAAAAAAGACTCTGGGTCCCTAAGGCTTCAAGTCTAAACACTGAGATTTTACATATTTCAAAAAGGAAATATTTTCTTAAAAAGAATCCTATTTTATAAAATCCTATTTTGTAAATCCTATAAATCCTATTACATAAAAGTCATCCATCACACTCCCTAGTTTGTTAAGTACATTTGTGCGCACCATCTCATTTGGGAGAACTCTGCAAGACAGGCAGGCAGGGACTATTCTCCCATTTTGTAAGCTCAAATGATAGACTGTGCTTGAGATCTTTCCACTGCACTGCATGGCCTGTCAAAGTACAGATAGATATAAGTGGACCAAATACCTTTGACAAAGAATAAAAACAATTCACTGTATAACTAGGGAGGGGAAGCAGAACTAGGCCCAGATGAGGGAAACTGGGCCCATGGCTGTCTCCTGGCAGATGACGCAGAGGAGGAGGGTGACAGGCTTTTGCTAACTAAGGAAGCTGAGCAGTTCAGTGAGAAAGAAGTTATTGCCTTGGGTCTAAACCCTGAGATTTGCCTTACATAGGGGTCTTTATATGAGGTGCAGGGACTAGCACCCTGAAAGGGGCCTGGTGCTGCTGCCTTCCGGAGAACGTGGGCCCACCTCCCCCAGGCCCTCCTAGGAGTCCCCGAGGGGAGTCAAGGGCACTGTGGGACACCTTGATCAGAGGAATGAGGCTGCTGTAGGCCAGAGTGATATGGTCAGGCATCTAGAATGAGGCCTGGAGCCTCTGCCACTGAACAACTCTGTGACCTTGGACAAGTCATTTTACCTCTCTGAGCCCCAGTTTCCTTATTTATAAAATGAGGACACTTATTCACTGGGTAGTTTGAGGTGTAAATAAAACTACATGTCATGTATGGGGTACATCGTAGATGCCCAATAAGTGTGATTTTGCCCCCTCCCTCCCCCTATGAGACCTCACCCAGTGCTTTGACCACTATACCAGTTAGCCTTAGGCTGGTGATATCCAGGAGGAGAGATTCTGATTAGGAAGCAAACCAATTCAGCCCTTCTTCCATGACAGGTGAAAACCCAAGTCCCAAAGGTGCCAAAGCAGCCTCTGATTCTCCATCACCCACCCATGACCACCATGACCACAATCAAGTCTTCCTCAAAGGAGATGCTGGAAGCAGAGGCAGAGTTGACTAAAGAGCTGCCCACCACCAAGACCATTTCTGTGGAGCGAAAGATGCCCATCGAGGGCCCGGAGGGCCTTCTCCTCTCCCACCGGGCCTTCGTGCCACTGCCTCCCATCTGCTCCGACTCCACTGTGCATAGTGAGGACACATCCCGCCGGAGCAACGCTGCTGGCCGCCTCAGCCCAGACCACCCGTCAGATGAGGACACCAAGAGCACAGAGTCCATCTTCTTGACCCAGGTACCTGGACCCACCTGCCCCTGCGCACTTGTTCCCAGCTCCCATGTGTTCCTGTCCAACCCTTAGACGGCTGGACTACTGTAGGCAGCTGGAACTAGGCACAAGGCAGTTCTGGAAACCAGAAAGCACCCTTGGCAGAGCCTGCAAGCCCCTTCTGGGAGTTCCACTGATCCAAGGCTACTGGTAGGGACAGCCATGGGGACAAGTCATGGTCCTGTGGCACAGACAACATCTGGGATTTGGCTGGGGCGTTGGTCAGACCAGTTTCTTGGAAGGGTTTGCTGCTGCCTCTTCCTATCTGCATAAGGTCACCTCACTTCTGATGCTGCATCTGCATCCTGGGAGCACAGATGGATGAGACATGGGTCCTGCCCTCAGGGTGTCCTCAGTCTAATAGGGGAGATGGACAGGAACAATGCATGCAGTCAGTGCTGAGACTGAGGAAAACTCAGGGGCTGGGAGCCTAGAGGAAGGAGGGATACCTTTGTCCTAGACCAGGAGGGCTTCCTAAAAGCAGTTCAAATGAGCTGAGCTTTGCAGGCTGAGTAGGAGTTAACAAGGTGAAGAGCTGGGCAGCAAGGACACTGTAGGCAGAGTGAGCAGCATGAAGCAGGGTACAGAGGAAGGAAATTAAAATGGTACATACAGAACGATGAATGATTCAGTGTAAATACAGTAGAAAGGTGACATGTAGGAAAAGGGAAGTTTAGGCTGGAGGAGTTGGTAGGGCCCCCTTGAACTTTATTATTGTAACATTATTATCCTCCCATCTTCCTGCCTCCAGTCTTGCCCCTCCAATCTGCCAGATCTTTCCAAGATGTATATCCACCCATAAATTATCTAACTCTCTATTCATCTCTTGCTTGTTCCACACATGACTTATAGTGACATACAAATTCGTACAATATAAAAGTATCTTTATGAACTAAATCAGAACCTTCTTGGAACAAAACAGAGTATAAACAAACAAGTATTTAAAAATAATTGAGATAGTTGGATAAAAGGAAGATATGCACAGGAAAGGAAATAAGTGCAAGGCCAATTCTGTCACTCAAATGTGCACATCGTGCACTGCCACTCTCATAATAGAGGTCTATTGCCAAAATGCAGTTCGAGCTTCCTAGCGGCCTAAGCAATACAGTCAATTATGAGTCACCATGACTGAAAAAAACAATCCCCCAATTGCCAAGGCTATAACCTCCAATACAATGTTGTCTTTTTCCTCCTGATCTTAGCACACAAACGTTCAGTCTTTCATCATTATGATTAACTGTGGGTTTTTCATAAATGCCCTTTATCAGGTCAAGAAAATTTCTTTCTATTCCTAGTTTGTTGAATATTTTGTCATGAAGAGGTGTTAGATTTTGCCAAGTGCTTTTTCTGTGTCTGTTGCGAAATGTGGTTTTTGTCCTTTACCTATTGATATATTACACTAATTGATTTCCAGATGTTAAATCAACCCTGCATACCTGGGATAAATCCCACTTTGACATAGCATATCATCCTTTTTATATGTTGCTGGTTCAGTTTGCTAGTATTTGGTTGGTATTTCTGTGTTATATTCATAGGGATATTGGTCTGTAGTTTTCCTTTCTTGTGATGTCTTTCCCTAGTTTGGGTTTCAGGGTAATACTGACTTCAGAGAATGAGTGTTCCCTCTTCCTCTATTTTTTTTTTTTTTTTGGAAGAGTTTATGAAGGGTTGGTGTTAATTCTTTAAATGTTTGGTAGAATTCACTACTGAAGCCATCTGATCCTTGGCTTTTCTTTGTGGGAAGTTTTTAAATTACTAATTCGATCTCTTGTTATAGGTCTACCCAGATTTTCTATTTCTTCTTTAGTCAGCCATAAGTTTTAACTAAGGGTGTAACAACATTCCTACTGGTTTCATAACCATCACAGTAAGGCTAAAAAAGTGAATTCAGACAATATTCACTCACCCCTTTTAAAACTCTTCCATGGCTTGCCATTACAGTGAGGATAAAGAAAATACAAACAAAAACAAAACAAACACCCTCAGCTTGGCATTTAAAGGCCCTTACTGAGCTGGGCCCTGCTTATTGCTCCAGCTGCCTATCTCTTTATGGTACCCTCCAACCACACCAATATTTTACTCCCCACAAATGCACTTTGCTGTGTCTTAACTTTGCATCTTTGCCCATGCTCTTCCCTGCCTGCCACAGTCCTCCTTTCTCATCGCTTGCCGCCTACCTGGGGATGGCTTTCCTGGTTCTTCCAGACTTCGCTCAGGCTAAGGCAACAACCCTCCATTGAGCTTCCTGGCCCCCCAGGCTGGTTAGGTCTTCCTGTGGGCTCACCCTGAACCCTTGTGCTCTCTCCTGTGACAGCATTTATCACAATGTATGATAATTTCTGTTTTCATGTCTGCTTCCTCTCACCCCAGTCTGGGTTCTTGCCCATAACAGGACCCAGCATGGGGACCCACACAGAACTCAGAAGTGTTAAGGGAATGCATTTTCTTTTTCTTCTGGGGCACAGGTCAGTGGGCTGTCTTCCTCCATCTTCCAGAGGGATGATACAGAGATAAAGGAGAAAGACCAAAGACTACCACCCACAGCACCCAGAGAGGTGAAGAGGACTCAGAAGAAGCTCCCATCTGCCTCCTTCCCCAGAAAGTACCATGGCTCCGAGGAGCTGCTGACAACCAAGCCTGATCCAGCCTTCACTGAGCCGAAAGGTACGTGAGGAGAATGGCTCGGGGCAAGGGGCTCTTTCCATGGCCCAGAGCAAGCCAGGGCAAAGCCAAGGTGGGTGCCAAGCCTCTTTTCCGGGCCAGGGTGTCATCTTCTGTCTGAATGTCTGTCAAAAGGCCCCTGAGGGTGTTCTGGTTTGGAGCCCTACTTGTCAGGACCCCTGGCCTGGACCTTCATTGGCTTTTGGGGAATCACAGCTGTTCAGAGATTCCAGCCAGTCTGGACCCAACTGCTTTGGTTGGAAAAGTCTCTCCAGGAAGGGTGTGATGAACAAACACTCAGACTGGTCAGATTCCCAAGGTCCTCCCCAGCCCAGTTAATCTCCAAAGCGAACATCCAAAATCCTCCCTGTGTGGTTTGAGACAAGGGAGGCAGTGCCTCGTCCGGCCCCTTATTTCAGACTCTGCTGTATTAACAGAATCTGCAGTGGTGCTCAGCTGTGCTCTGTTGGGTGTCATTCTCTGCAGTGTAACCCCCTGAGGTTAATGGGTTACTTGGTGTCACTCCCTTTCACCACTCCTATGCTATTTTTCCATCAGGATCTGTGCACATAGGAAACAAGTATTCACTGAACAAATGATGGAACTTCTGGCACCACAACAGATCAGGGCAGGTTATGGGAACACTGTTTTCTTCTTGGAGGCCCTCATCTTTTTACCCAGGGCTGCTATGAAATGGGGAATGAAGAAATTGGGGGAGGCATCCAGGAGGAGGGGGATGGACCTTGACCTTGTCTTTTTGCCCTAGGAATCCAGAAGAATGCACAGGCCTTGCAGCACATGCTGAAACATCCGCTCGTGTACCGCTCCTGCAAGGCCAGGCTGGACACTCTTCAGAAACACTATGTTCCCAAGGAGAAACGGGTAAACTTCCACCACACTGTGTATGTGAACTGCCCCTCAGGACCCCACAAGTACAGAGGTGGCTGTCACCTTGGGACCTTCAAAGAGCCATGCTTTTCCATAGTGCCCCCAAGTTCTCCCCTGCCTGTCATTGTGACTGTATGAGGAGGTGAGGCCATGAAAGTCTGAGTAGAAGACTGGGACAACACTGTGCTCTCTTACCTCCCGTCAGACCCAGAGGATCCCTATTCCACCCCCCCGGAAGACTCAAGCCCAGCTGCTGGATGACATCCTCATTCGCATGCGGGACCCCCGGAACATTACTGAGGCACCACTAGGTACGGCTCTGACCCCCAGTCCTTAGCTGCCAGGATCCAAGATCTAGAAGTTTACTCACCTGCTGGTATAGGCAAAGGGCTTGTGTTGGAGCAGGAAGGGCCCTTAGAGAGCATCTGCCCCAGACCTTCCTGTGTGCAGATGGAGAAACTGAGGCCTGAGTGAGGCAGAGAGTTGCCTAAAGTCACACAGCATGTTACCAACGGCTTGAGACAGAATCAGAAGGGGATACCTCTGGCTTTCTAGTGCCCAAACTGGAGAGACCATTTTCAGGCCCTTAACATCCTCTTCCCACCCCCTCCCACTTTCTGAGGGGCTCTGGACCCAGTCCCCGCTGCTCTGGGCTAGGTGGGACCCAGGGTGACCTTGGTGCCCCTCCCGGCTTTTCTCCCTGCAGGAGCTGTCCTGTGCCAGCGGACAGAGCAGCAGCTGGTGAACCAGAAGCAGTACCTGCAGGCCAAAAGGCTGCTGAAGGAGTTTCGTGCGCGGTACCGGCGGCTGGTGCGCTGCTCACTGCGGTCGGCGTTCGGGGCCACGGCACCACCCCAGGTCCGCCTGGCATTGAGCGAGGGCCAGCCTAAGAAGTTCGGCCACTTCCTCGAGTTCATGGATCAGTTCTGCCAGGAGCCCACGGCCAGTGACTCGAAAGGCTAGGGCTGCGCACAGGGCCATGTGCGCCGCCCCACCTGCGCCCCACACCCTCCGCAAGAGCTCCGTGCCTTTGACTGCTCCCTGGGATGGGTGCGGGCCTCCGAGCTCTGCTCAGCCTCACTCGCCGGCCGCTGTGAGTGGGGAGCTCGTCAGGACCGCCCCGCCCTGGGCCGGGCAGGAACCGGCACCTGGCCCAACAGCAATAAAGAGTGGGTGCATAGAGCAAGGTAGGCCTCATGCCTTTTTGGAGCCTAGGCCAGGTTGTCGCACTGGGGAAAGAAACCCCAGCTGATGCGCATCCCTAGAGTCCTGTGGGAAACCTGCCTGAGTCACACAGAGTGATAACACTGTGTTATCCCACAGAGCTGGGATAAGCAGTAGGACAGAAAACAGGGTCGATGAAACAGAAACAGCACAGAATCCAAAGCTCAGAGAAGTTAACTAACTTGCCCACAGCCACTAGTGAGTGAGTGTGTGTGTGTGCGCGTGTGTGCGTTGGGAGCAGGGCGGGTAACAAAACTCAGGCCTCTAGGCCCCCAAAAGCCTCTAGGCTTTCTCTGTTGGGCAGCTTTTTCCACTGTCAGGGCAAATGTGGGGAGAGGGAAGAGAGAGAGGATTGGGAATTTCCTTATTAGATGGCCATGACCACAAAGTTGGGACAAGTTGAAGGGAGGGCTTACATGGAGTTTCCCAAGGTTTTCTAATCCAGGACATAAGCTGAAGTCCCATATGCAAATACAGTGGGATGTGGCTCTAAAACAGACCCTGGGACTGTGCAAGGTCAACCGGGACTCAGGTCAAGTAAGCTAGTTCTGGCCAAAGCAGCCTATGGGGTTGCCCCATTCTTATGAATGCATAGTAGTCAGCACCTGCTATAGAGGAGGGTCAGGAGAAGGCCACTGGGCTGAATTGCAGCGATGTGCATTTGGGTGTGGGTGCTGGGTGTGACCTAGTCACCTGGGCTGCTTTCCTGGAGGTGCCTGCCTGGGGAGAAGGCCTGCAGTTCCCAGGGTCCAGGAAGCAGTGGCATAAGGATTAAGGACCCACAGCAAGGCACCAACTCCCACAACCTAAGGTGCAATTAAGACGATTATAGAAATACAGTCTTGTAGCCACAGGTCTGTGGTGCAGTATCTGCTGTATTTCAAGTGCGAGACTATTAGGACACAAATGTTTGCATATTATCACACTCAACCAACCACAGTCACATACATGTGGCCAGTTACATATTTACACCAAGCTGTGGTCATACCAGACACACATATTCAAGTTCAGACGGTCACATACACGATCACATACAGTCCCATACACATATCAAGTTACAAAGTCAGTTACGTCTCACTCATTCACACAGGCACCTGGACAGATTCAGGTAATAAACACAGTGCTACCCTCAGCAGCACACATGTGCTGGGGCATGTTGCTGACTTACCACGTTGGATCTTCTAGGCCCAAAATCATCCTTCTGCTAATGTTAGGAAGGAGAATCCACCCCAACATTCACACTGTAAACCTCGCTAGGTTCAAGTTCGGGAGATTTGCAATGCTCCCTTCAGCCAGAAACACTATCAAACCATAAGCTCTCAGGCCTGAAGGCTCCTGGGAACATCCTATCCCAGCCTCTAGGTAGGAAGCCTCTTGCAATCTCCCCAACAGATCATTCAGCTCCTGCTTGCACATCTAGTGACAGGGCGCTCATTCCCTGCAAAGGCTGTCCCTTCCTTTGTTGGGAAAACTATTGGATGGCTCTAGCCATTGGACTAAGCATCAGCCTAAGGTCCCTCAGTAGTCCTAACTCTGCTTTTGGGCCCAGAGTATATCTGCTCTCTCTGCCCCGCCAGGCTGGCCCTTTACCGATATGAGACTATCCTGAAGAGGATATACCTATCTAGGCCAGATGCTCTTAACTTTCTCTGTTATTCCACATGGGATACCATCTGAATAAACTGGTTCTCCTATCATTCTGAATGCCGAAGCAAGACATTCCAACACAGGGCATCTCCCAGAGCAAAGATAGCCCCAAACTCAAACACACGTAGTCTAAGCTCAGCTCAGATTTGCCTGAGATTGCTCTCCAGAGATAAGACTGACTAGAAACAGAACATTCATGAGTTTGCTCTACTGTATTCTCAACTTGGGCCTCTCCTCAACCTGGCAAGCCTGCACTGAAGAATGCACTTTGGTATTGTTTAAACAACACATCATCCCATTTGATCCCTTAGCAGAAGCATCCCTGACAGGGCACGCCTGTTCTGAGTCCTCTGTCTTTGTCAAAAAGCTCCTTGTGATGAGCTGGAGGGGAGGCAGCCAGCAATGGCAGTGCCAAGGGTCTGGGCCCCTTCTGCAATCTAATGCAGACAGCAGGTTGAATGAAACCAAAATCCAAACCATTTTCTATTTCTAGGCTGGAGGGGATAAGGCCCTAAGGACAGCTGTTTATACGAAGAACTAAGAGTAAATAGTACATCAGTCACACACAGACAAAAAAATCCATTAGTTGGCATTTAAGATAATCATTTTCCTTTACATAGTTACCCATTCTCATTAGGACTTGAAGGTTCTGCTGGAGGTTAAGGGTTGAACCCACTGAGGGAAAGCCCTGCTCCTACTGTTGGCACAGCTTGGAGAGGGGGCAGGGCCAACAAGGGAGAATCTGCTGCCGCCGTCTGGAGCCGGGCCCCAAAGCTGCTCCTGAGCTCTCATGGCTTGATCTTTGAGGAGTACATTCCCTGTTTATACCCCTTATTAAATGAGAGGAAAGGAAGAAGAACAAGCCTGGCCTTACCCTGGCTTTGTCCAACTAGTTCTTAAGACACCAGAAAAGGTAGAAAGGGAGCCTGCCCCCGGTTTGAGGTTCCCTCCCACAATTACTGAGACAAGGCATTAAGGAAGCATTTTCTCACAAAGCAAAATGTGTAAATATTTTTCTTAGGAAAAAAAAATACTGATAATACATAGAACAATGTGCACATTCAGTCCTGGCACTTTTCCTTCATCCAATTTAACCAATTTCTAAACTGGTGACTTCTGTATATATTCACTGTGGATAACGTGTAAAGATGCATTTCTGGATCATCTTTAGAGCAAAGTCTATTCAGCATCCTCTTTTCCTAGAATCCCACCCCCACCCCTCCCAAAAAAAAAAAAAAAAAAAAGACCTGCTTTCTCATTGAATCACAAGAATTTATAAACAGCTATACTCACTTCTAAAAGCCAAGTCAAAAGACCAATCTGGGTTGATAAGGAAAAGGCTGGCTGAGAAAAATTAAGTCCCTAAGGAGTTCTTGATTTTCAAAGAAAAGTGAAGGGTTGGTTGGGTTCTAATCCTTGGTAGTTAAAATAACAGCTATTCCAATCACTTCCCAAGATTTCACATTCACATTACTCTCACTGTGGGGGTTTTCCCTGCCTGGGTGTGTATTCAGGGGATCTGGGTACATTTTAATTCTAACTGAAAAAAGCAGGAAGAAAAAACTTAAAACAATCATTCGGGTGTCCCCCTCATTAGCAGATTGTGTGTGTGTAACTTAGAGGACTATTCATTCAGACCCTAGACAACTACAGTACAAATATGACACAGGGCACTGAACCTCAAGTTCCTCATTTCTTAAAAAAAAAAAGGGCATCAGGGGGTATAGTTTGACTTGGATAATTTCCATGCCCATTCCAGCTACATAACATTTTATGATTATGATCCAGCCTTCATTTTTCTTCCCTTCCTCACCTGCTTGCCTTCCATCTCAATGGAAAGCCACGCAGGAAAAAGGAAAGGAATCCCAAGTTGCTGCCAGCTCTGGTGAGAGGTCTGGTTGGGGAAGAGGTTAGTAGGTTACTAAGTTGAGAGTGAGCCTCCTCTGATCATGTCAGTGATCCACAACCTTCCTCATTTCTTGGGGCTTTATGCTAAAAGCAGCTCCTAAGGAGATGCTATTGTTCTATAATCACCGGAGGAGAAAAATCATTCTCCACTGGTAAAATTACTTAAGAAATGGAGAGCAGTATTGCAATCAAATTCACAAATACTGATGGGGGTATGTAAAATGTTCAAGGTTGCTGGACAGTACCTTGAACGGGCCATCCAAGATCATCACTATGGTCTTTCGTGAAACCATTAACGAGCTCTCCAGCCACACATGCATTCAAATACATTCCAGTAGACACTGAGCTCATCAAGAGCAAGACTGTCCTTTCCATCTTTATATCCATGACTTTGCACAGGGTTGGCACAAGTTCGAAGCTCAGGAAATATCTGTCAAATGGAACAAAAAGGACAAACGGCACAGCCTTCGGTCATCAGCTTCACCAGTCAAGCACAATGGCAACTTTCCATCTTAGTTTGTCTGTTTGTAATATCATAGCAATTAATTAAGCAGCTTTAATCTCTTAAGGGCATTTTTCTTTAAGAGGAAATGAACAAAACACACAGAAAGCATTCATCACCAATGCTTCCTCCAGGCAAAAATTTAAAGATTAAATTTTAAAAAATAAATGAAGCCACTTAAAAAAGGTTTTCCTGGGAAGCTTCAGCCAAGAAGCCTTCTAAAAAGAGGCAATTACATGAAAGGGGCCAAGGGCTAGATACATAATCCCCAGATCTGACATTAACCCAACAGGCCCAGGTGACTTCTTTCAGCAGATACAATCAACGGATCACGAACATGTTCCCAAAGTATCTTTCCCACTTGATAAAAAAAAGGGCTGAGAGCCCCCTTCTTAGGGCATTACATTTCTTGGATTACCCATCAGAATGACCTCTACCCTCCAACCTCTCATAACTTCCCCTTTAATAAGAAAAAACACAGAAAGCATATACACAAGGAACAGAGTTAGAAGAACATGGGAAATTTCTATGGTGAATCAGAGTCCAGTGACTTGTGAGAAATGTTTGTTTTCTGAGATAGTGTATCTTTCATTCTAGCTCACAAACCCTCCCCATCGTTTTCCTTCGTCTTTTTCTCCAAAGAATTCACGTCAACAACTCCATTTGTGACCAACTTCACAATCAAGCAACAGGAGAGGGAAATTTTCCAGAAAGAAGTGTTCAGGTTTTAGTTGTTAAGTATGGGAAGCATCTTAAAATACAGATAATACCTTAGTGGTTTTACCCTCCTCCAAAGCCAAGAAGATTAAAGATTAAGCCTCCTCCCTCCTTAACCTAAACTGCTTTGTCTATATTTGAAGGACTGCTGCTCAGCTGGAAGTCTGGAAACTACAACTGTCAGTACCATTCGAGGTTCCACAGTAGGTGGTCAGTAAGCTGGATCCAGCTGTTGGAATATTTGCCTAACAAGAAATTTTCACTCTGCACCTGATGCTAAAACTTGTTGCTACTGCTAAGCAATTTCTTAAAATGAAAGTATTATTTTGGGGAAATATTTAAAATATATATCTTTTCTATTAAAAATATTTATCTTTTTTCCAAAAACAAAAATCAGTTCCAACTGGAGTGTTTTTCAAATGATTGAAGGTATAGAAAAAGGTGACAAGTGGAAAAATAAGTGTCTTTGCTACTACCAATGAGACTAGCCTTCCAATAACATTTACTAAGATCGAAAAGGAACTCCATGAAATGGCAGTAAGTGATGTCTTCTCTGAGGGCATTTAGTAAGTCACCCTCCCTGTCTCTACAAACCAGTGCCAGCTCTTCTATCTTGGGCACCAGTATGCCCTCCAGCAGCCTTTGGAGGGCGTATGTTGCTGGTAGGACCTAAAACTGAAGTGGTATGAATATAAAGTACTGATGTATATTTTCTAAACAAACATCTGCACGTGTGCACGCACAAACACACAGAACACAGAATACATACATTCAGGTAAGTGACACTCCCCACCAAAGTAGTCACTGAGGAGGTTCCACATATCTCAGTGATTGCCAAAATACTTCAGACATCTCTGGAACTCCTCTTTGGGAACTGTTTATGAGCTGCCCAAGAAAACTGCTCTGACTGCTTTACAGATGCACCTCATTTCTGACTCCAAGCCCTAGGTAACCTACCTTCTCTTCCAGAAGCTTCAAATAGCTTCTGACTAGTTTCAAACTA